ACTAACCCCTGAGCCATCTCTCCACCCCCTCTTACTGTATTTAAGATAGCCAGGGACCACCTTGGAATCAAAGACAGGTGCACCCCTGGAGGCCTTAACTGTTATTCACTAGAAAGAATGACATGGTCTTTGCTACCCCCATTCTCCCAGTCTTATCTACAGCAGGAAACCAGGTACATCATAAAGCTGGGATGCCTTTGCTCTCTGTCTAAAAACTAAGAGAATTAGACTGTTGAAAGGCCCACAAAAAATAAAAACAAAACAACAACAACAAAAAAAGGCAAGCAGACTGCTGGGCCTTAGCTTGTTACTAGTTAAAAGCTTGATGTGGCATATGGCCAGGCATGGTGGCCTATGCCTTTAGTCCCAGCACTCAGGAGGCAGAGGCAGAGGCAGGAGAATTTCTGAGAGTTCAAGGTCAGTCTGGTCTACATACAGAGTGAGTTCCAGGCCAGCTGGGGCCACAGGGAGACCCTGTCTCAAAAATCACACACACACACACACACAAAATCTTGATGTATTTATTTCTTTCTGGCTTTGCCTAAATGTTAGTCTTCACAGCTACAGTGGCCCATCCCTCTTACGAGACTAGGATGTTTGTGCAGAAAGGCAGGGTATCAGCAGAATGAATGTAACAGTTGCTGGGATAGACTGATTGCCTATTCCTCAAGACCAGGATCTTGGCACAAAAACAGGAGACATCTGGCCAGGTGTGGTGGCATATGCCTTTAATCCCAGCACCCAAGGCACCAAGGCAGGGATATCTCTGTGAGTTCGAGACCAACGTGGTCTATGTATCAAGTTCCAGGTCACCCAGGGATAAATAGTGAGACTTTGTCTCAAAAAAATGAAAAGAAAGAAAGAAAGAAAAAGAACTCCAGTTCCAGGGAACTAGACACCTTCTGACCTCCAAGGCATTGCATGACATGGTGCACTTATACACATGCAGGCAATACACTCATGTGCATAAAATAAAAGTAATAAAATCTTTTTTCACAAAAGAAAAACATTCACTTTTTACAGCTGAACCCAGGATGAGCATGGTGCACATAACCCATAATCTCAGCTCTAAGAAGGCAGAAGCAGGAGGATCACTCACTGTAAGCTCAAGACTAGCCAGGGCTACATAGTGAGTTCTAAGTCAGCTAGGACTATACAGTGAGACTATCTCAAAAAGATTCCCCACAAACCTTGTGCCCAGGGGTAGCAAAATTTTGGGTCTTTGGTTTACCACTGCAACCCCAATAAATACATAAATTTAAAAAAAGAAAAAAAATGTTTATTTTCTTTGTCAGGAGTAGGCTGGGGCTAGGGCTGTGATTCAGTTAGTAGAGTGCTTTCCTAACGTGAATGAAGCCCCGGGTTCAGTCCCCAGCACTGTACAAAACCAGGTGTGGTGGCACATACCTATAATCCCAAACTCAGGAGGTAGAGGCAGGAGGATCAGAAGTTCAAGCAGCGTGGGATACAAGAGTAGCCTGATCTCTCGGTGCTATCTCCTTCCTTCTTGAAATGAAGTCTTTCTTAAAGCTTTGCCTCTGGTGTTCATATTTGACTGAGTTTCATTTCTGTTGCTTCTGACCAAAAGTTCCCATCCAGGAATTGGGCCTCATGCTTATGGTGTGCACCAGTAATCCTAGCATTTAGGAGGTAGAGGCCGAAGAATCAGGAGTTCAAGGTCAGCTCCTTAACACCCTCTCTCAAAAATAACCCCAGCACAAGGGAGCCACGGGCAGCGGATCTCTGTGAGATCAAGGCCAGCCTGGTCTCCATAACGATAAAAAGTTCCTGTGCATATTTTGAGTGAGCTTTATATCTTTGATGTGTACATTGTTATATATGTGATGTACAAATATTTTTTCTCAGTCTAGATTTTTTTTTCATCTTTACTTTGATGAAGGAGAATAGGGCATGTCTGAAGAACTGAGAGAAAGCCAGTGGTCCTGGATCTTGAGCATGAGGGAAGCGTATCCACTGGGGGAGAGGCAAGTGTGAACTCACAGATCATGTAAGGATCTTGGCCTTTATTTTAAGGGCATTTTGAAGCTATCACATGCTAACCAAAGGGTACATGAATGGACTTCGGTTTTGAAAAAAATCATTCTGCTTATTGCCTGAAGAATGACCCACTGGGAAGTCTACCATGGATTCATATAAAACAGTTTGAAAGTTGCTGTTGTGGGAATTATGGCAATTTAAATTAGATTAGTGGCAGAATAATAAACAGGTTCAACAGATAGTAAGGATAAAGGATAAATACGTAATACCCTCAAGTCCAATATCTGAGGAAAATGTTTTCTATTTCAATGTTACGTGTTTAGCTATGTTTTTCTTAGAAGTCCTTTATTACAGGAAGGAAGCTTCCCTCAATTTAGTTTGCTGGGAGTTGATAAATAGATGACAAACACTGAATGTTTAAAATTTATTATTATAGTGTGCACAAACACACATGTGGGGGGGGTGTCACTTATGCCATGGTAGTTATGTGGAAGTCAGAGGGACAACTTTGTGGAGCTGATTCTTTCCTTCCACCTTTATGTGGGTTCCAGGGATCGAACTCAGGTTGCCATGCTTGTACAGCAAGCACCTTTACCAGCTGAGCCCTCTCATGAGCCCTCAAATGGCTTGAATGTTACATATCAATTGAGATGATCACATTACTTTCCCTCTCACTTGCCTTGCATGTGCTAAGCATATGTTCTCTCACTCAGCTACATCCCCCTATGTTTTTTCTTTATTGCATGGCAAACTACACTGGCTTTTTTTTTTTTTTTTTTTTTTTTGAGATAGGGTCTCCTTGTAGCCCCAGCTGTCCTGGAACTCTGTAGACCAGGCTGGGCTCGAACTCACAAAGATCCGCCTGCTTCTGCCTCCCAAGTGCTGGGATTAAAGGCGTGTGCCAGCACGCCTGGCTTACACTGGCTTTTAAATGCTGAGCCTGGGATTTGCCAGTATTTTGCTGAGCATTTTCACTAAATTTTTAAGAACTCACCAGTGAAGTCCTATATGCTTAAATTTTTTTTCTGTAGGGGAATGTTTTAAATTTCTTTTTTAAAAAATATTTTTTAGGGGTTGGAAAGATGGCTCAACAGTTAAGAACACTGCTTGTTCTTGTAGAAGACCCGGGTTCAAATCCCAGCACCCACATGGCAGCTGAGAACTGTCCGTAACTCCAGTCCCAAGGGATCCAACAGCCTCTTCTGACCTGCACAAGCATTGCACAACACGGGTGCACTTACCTACATGTAGGCAATACATTCATACACATAAAATAAAAATAAATTTTAAAAAATATATATTTTTAAATTTTATGTGTATGAGTGTAGTGTCCACCGAGATCAAAAGAGGGTGTCAGATTCCCCTGGAACTAGAGTTACAGATGGTTGTTAGCCACCATATGGGTGTTGGGAATCGAACCTGGGTCCTCTCCAAGAACAGCCAGTGCTCTTAACCACTGAACCATCTTTCCAGTTCCTTAAATTTGATTTCTAATGGTTATGATTATTCAGATTTTCCTTTTTGTTGTTTGGGGGTTTGTTAGTTTCATTTTATTTTTATTTTTTGAGACGGGGTCTATCTGTGACTGGCATAGAATATACCATTGTAGATCAGGCTGGCCTCCAACTTGTGGGTAACCTTCCTGCTTTTTGTTGATGCTGTTTCTCTTTGAGACAAGGTCACATGTAGCCCAGGCTGGCCATGAGCTTGGCTATGTAGCTAAGGATGACTTTGACCTCCTGAGCTCTCTGCTGCTACTCCCACATGCTGGATTACAGGCATGTGTAGCTGTGCTCAGCTATGTCATTAATTTTTGCCTTCTGCTCTAGATATACCTTACTTTTTTCCTACTGTTTTATATTCATTTATTTATTTTCTGAGACAAGGTCTGTCCTAGTTATATTTTGCTGCTGTGATAAAACACTTGTGCATGTTAGGCTTTACCAATTGAGCTATACCACTAGCTTCCAAGATTGTTTTTTTCTAGAAAGTCTAAATCTTAACATGGTGTGCAGTTGATTTCTTCTGCCACACCCGTCACTCTGCATATGAGTCATGCTCAGTGGCTGCCAGTCCATAGGCTTTCTTCCTATGAACCTTTGAACTGTTGCTTCACAGTGCTTGGAGTGCCTTCTTCCACTGGTAGCCTTTAATCTAAGTCCCCTTGTCTTTTAGGTCTCCACTTAAATGTTAACCTCCCCTGGAAACTTTTCCTAAGAGCTTGCCCTGATTTCCCAGGTGTCCTTTCTTGATGTTCTTACAATAGCATGTACTTTTTTTTTTTTTTTTTTGGTTGTTTTGAGATGGTCTCCCTATAGCCCCAGCTGGCCTAGAACTTGCTATGTAGACCAGATTGGCCTTGAGAGATCTGCCTGCCTCTCCCTCCTGGAGTGCTGGGACTAAAGGTGGAATTTACTTTCTAATAGCACTTCTCAAGCCACTGAAATTCCCTGCTGGGTGTGGTGACACTCCTATAATTCCATCACTGCAGAGCTAGAATCAGGAGGCTCAGGCATTGAAAGCCAGCCAAGAGAGAGAGGGAGAGGGAGGGAGGGAGGAAGGAGGCAAGGCGGGGTGAAGAAAAAGAAATTTCCTTTTAGTCTCTGTATTGTTCATTAGACTTGGAACCTCAAGTGCTGTATCTGCCATGCTATTCCCAAAGCCCAGAACATGCTTGGCACAGAGTAAACCTCAGTAAACATTTATTTAAAAAAAAAAATTATTATTTATGTATGTGTTTTGCCTGCATGTAAGTGTACCAAGGTCATGCAATGCCCAAGGAGGACAGAAGAGGGCGTTGGGTCCTCTGGAACTGCAGTTACAGATGGCTGTTAGCCTCCATGTGGATGCTGGGATTTAAACCAAGGTCTTCTGCAAGAGCAGCCAGTACTCTTAACTGCTGAGCCATATCTCTAGCCCCTCAGCAAACATTTCTTGAATGGCTCCCCTAAGAATGATTTAAGAAAGTTGGTACCTTTTCTGCTTTCTCTTTCCACATCCAGCATTCTCCTGGGGTGCAGCCCGCGGATGTGAAGGAAGTTGCTGAGAAGGGTGTACAGGCACTTGTGATTGGCCGAGGGATGAGTGAGGCCTTAAAGGTAGGTTCTGGTGTGCAGAGCAGTCCTGAGGACAGGTGGCTGTCTCTTGGACCTTAGTTTTGACAGACAGCTCCTTCATTAGTGGTCACCTCTGTATATCATGCCCCTCCCTTTGCTGAGTGATGGATGAGCAAAGCTGCATATGCCACTCTGCTCAGCTTCATGGGCAGGCTTCCAAGTCCATGCCCAACCCTGACAGTGCTCTTTCGACTATTTCTAAGAAATACTTCAATGATCAATGCAGCCATGTGTGGCTCAACAGGGATATATTCTGAGCAGTGCATCGCTAGGTGATTTTATCATTGTGTGAACAGCATAGCTTGTATATACACAAAGACAGCTACAGTGTCATTTAGTGATGTAATCTTATAGAACACCCTTATATATGGGGTCCATAGTCTACCGAAAAAGCCATTATGAGGCACATAACTATGTGGTCCTTTAGATGTTAATAGTACTTTTTTTCTTTCTTTTTTTTTTTTTTTTTTTTTTTTTTTTTTTTTTTTTTCAAGGTCTCATGTATCCACAGCTGGACCCCAGCTCTATATATAGCCAAAGATGCTGTTGAGCTTCTGATCCTCCTCCTCTACCTCCTGAATGCTAGGGTGACAGATGTGCACCATCACAGTTTATGCCATGCTGGGGATTAACTCAGGGCTCCATGCATACTAAGGCAAGCACTCTACCAACTGAGCTGCATCTCCAGTCTTTTTTTTTTCCTCAGTCTTCCTCTGTAGCCCTTTCTGGCATGGATCTCAATATGACAACAAGGGTGGCCTCAACTTTGCTATGATCCTTTTGCCTCTACCTCCTAAGTGCCATAATTAGAGGCATGAGTCACTCTGCCCAGCTCATTATATTTTGATGGGACATATTTTATAGTAGTTTTTCTTTTCTTTCAAGTTAGGCCTTTTGTCCCTCCAGAAAATATTTTTCATTTGCAGAAACACCTGCTCATTGTAAAACATTCAAGATTCAATGAAGAAATGTAGAAGTAAAAAGATGAAAGCTGTTCCCTCCTCAGGTTCCACACAGTGTACACTGTTCCAGTTCTGCGTGTGCATCTCATATATGTTCACACCTCTACACATATGCATGTGTGTAGTTTTTTGTTGTTGTTTTATTGTTTGTCTTTTGGAGACAGAGTCTCCCTATAACCGCAGCTGGCCTGGAACTCGCTATTGTAGACCAAGCTGGCCTCGAACTCAGAGATCCACCTGCCTCTTCCTCCCAAGGGCTGAGATTAAAGGCATGCGCCACCACGCCTGGCATATTAGGCATTTTCAGTAGCTCGGACACTGTTCTAGGCACTGAGGAGAATAAGATATATTAGGCAAACAGGCTTTGTTATCCTCATGAATTAAGAGAAAACTAGACAATTTCAGATAATAGATCCTGTAAACAGAGTGCTCCACAAAGGCCTCTGAGCTGTGGTGTATGTACATTACCAGTGTCATCCTCACACAAACTCTGTCTGTAAATACTATTAGTACTGCTTTCCAGGAGAGGAAATTGGGGATTAGACACTTTAAAGAACTGGTAGAAGATCTTTTGATTTGGCACATGGCAAAGTTCACGTTTAGACTCAAGTTGGACTATTCAAAATTTTTTTTTTTTCTTTTTGAAACAGGGTCTCCCTGTAGCCCTAGCTGGTCTGGAACTCACTAAGTAGACCAGGCTGGCCTTGAACTTGCAAAGATCCACCTGCCTCTGACTCCCAAGTGCTGGGACTAAAGGCATGTGCCACCACACCTGGTTTCTATTCATACTTTTAAAATTTACAGTTTGGGCTCTGTACTATGCTTGACATTTTCCATACTGTAACTCAGTTCTCATACCAACACTGTAAGCTTGATATAATTTGCCTAAATTCACAGACATGGAAATAAAAGTTCAGATTTAATTTCCTCCTCAAGACAACACTGCTGGCAAAGACTTAAATCCAAGACTGATTCAAAGGCTATTCTTCACATTTCTTTTTCACTTGAGCTTAAGCACGGACACCATGAGACATCTGGGAACTTGTTCTTGATCTTTTTGTTTTTCCTGGTTCTGGGGAGTGAACCTGGGCCTCAAGTATGCTCATACACTGTCTGCCACTGTACTACATCCCAGCCTCCTCGGGGACCTTTTTGACTCACTGGGGCCCACTGCCAGATTTTGGTTGGTGATACACTGGGTGAATGAGGAATGACAGGTGTCACTAATTCTGTAGCGTGCACTTGCCTTATGACAAGAAGCTCTGCGGCCTCTTCCCCATACTTATTCATCTCTTTTCCTTCTTCCCAGGTGCCTGCATCCACTGTGGAATACCTTGAGAAACAAAGCATTGATGTGTGGGTCCTCCAGACAGAGCAGGCAGTGAAGGAGTATAATTCTTTGGTTGCTCAAGGGGTAAGAGTAGGAGGTGTCTTCCATTCCACCTGCTGATGGAGCCTTAAGAGAATAAACCACTAAGCGACGAGGTCTTGCCTGTCACTCTTACCATTCTTCACCCCAGTCTCCACCATGCATTTTTGAACACCTGCTCATGTTCTTGGGATAGATACACAGAAGGCTAAGGGGAAGTTCTTACCCCTCAGTTTGCTAAAATCAGAAGAGATGTTTACTGAAGTTGTGCAGTACAGTAAGGGTTAGATTCAAGTATGAGAAACTTCAGACAAAAGTAAAAGATTGTAACTTAGCCAGGCGCAGTGGCACACACCTTTAGTCCCAGCACTCGGGAGGCAGAGGCAGGTGGATCTCTATGAGTTCAAGGCCAGCCTGGTCCACATAGTGAGCTCTGTGAGTTCAAGGCCAGCCTGGTCTACAAAGAGAGTTCCAGGACAGCTGGGGCTACAGAGAGACCCTGTCTCAATAAAGATCTAAAAAAAAAAAAAAAAAAAAAAAAAAAAAAAAAAAAACAATTGTACCTTGAAAACCAAAGAAAAACTTCAGAACAGTAGAATCTCACTGAAGCTGATGCTTTTTAGTCTTTAGAGATTTATGCAACTATGTTTTTTGAAGCACTTTATATACCAGACACTGCTGTAGGCTCTAGAGAAATAGCAAAATGACTTGTTTTCATGATGCTTATTACATGCTAAGGTAGAAAGTAAATACATGATGTATATAAAAATCAGCTATGATGAAAATAAAGTAGGCTAAGACAAGTGATGGAGGCTACTTGAGACAGGGGGTCAAGGAAGGTCTTTATGCAGGCAGCATGAACAAAATGCTAACTAAAGTGAAGGAGCACCTGAGTGACAGTAAAAGCATACCCCCAGCTGGGTTCAATTAAGTAACCTGGGATGTGAGGCAGACAGTTCTTTGGTGAGACCTTAGAATAGACTGAGAGAACTCTAAACCATCATCATACTTATTTTTATTTATCTTCAAAAAGGTGGCCAGGCGTGGTGGTGCATGCCTTTAATCCCAGCACTTAGAAGGCAGAGGCAGGAGAATCTAGTGTTTCAGACCAGATTGTACTACATGCTAAGATCCAGGCCATCTTGGGTTCCACAGTAAGATCTTGTCTCAAAATAACAGAAAAAATACTGCTTGTGGGTTTTGTTTTCAAATAACTATAACTTTAAATTGAAGTTCTTTGACAGTCACTGGTCCAGAATTTATTTAACCTCCCTGAGTTTCTCTATTCTCAGCTGTCAGATTGTTAGTACCTAGTATCATGTGTATGAGTGCTTTGCCTTCATGCCATGGAGGCCAGAAGAGGGTATTGTACAAAGTAATTTGGAGTGGGACTTAGCTCATTGCCTGGCATGTGGTAGACTCAATAAACCAAAAGCCTTGTTGTTGTTAACATTTCATTAGTAGAGCTGCATCCAGTTACTTTACAGATTCGTAGACTGTTGGAGCCCAAAGCAGCTGTCTCACTTGCTTATGCAGCAGTTTTCTTTCATGCCCATTTACTAAGAATCTAGTTTTAATTTAATTCTAATTTTTAATCTAGTTTTAATCTAATTCTAATTTTCTTGGAACCAGTTGTTGCTGGATCCTAGGGGTATGGAGATGTGAGATTTATAGTGCCTGACCTTGTAAGTTATATGGAAAAATCCAAGCAGAATGATGTACAATTGTAATACCAGCACTCAAGAGGCAAAGGCAGTGGATCACCACAAATTCAAGGCCAACCTGGTCTACACAGCAGGTTACAGGCCAGTTTACTCTTTTTTTTTGAGACAGGGTCTCCCTGTAGCCCCAGTTGGCCTGGAACTAGCTATGTAGACCAGGCTGGCCTTGAACTCAGAGGTCCACCTGCCTCTGCCTCCCGATTGCTGGGAGTAAAGACGCCACCATGTCTGGCTAATTCCCAAGATCTTAAAAACAATTTTTATATGAAAACGCAAATTTCTGCCTTTCTGGAAAAACTGGAAGATCTGACATCACCAGGTCCTCACATACAGGTTCAAATGAAGTGGAATGAAACAGCAAATACCTTCTGACAGAATGCTCTGTTCCTCGGTCTCCTTCACCTTCCTTGAAGTACACTGTTCCTTTTCCTGTGTACCTTCTTTAGGGGTTTGTAATTGTAAGCCTGCAATACAGTGTTATCCTTGAAGATGGATAGGATCCCATGGGAACACAGGCTTTATGCCAAATCAATAGGGGATACAGATTCTAGAACAAGACCCAGGCCTGAAGAACTGGAGGGAAGAAATCATGGACAGACTGAGTGCACATTCCAAGGTTTCACAGTCCGAAGGCTCAGAGGGGTACAGCCATGGGAGCTTTGGGAGCAGCTGAGGTAATCATATACCTGGAACAAAACAGGAGATTGAGACAGGAAACACCAGAGACAAAGCAGAGGTGAGGAGAGCTTTCAAAGACTAGCATTTAGACTTTATGCTGGGACCAGTGGTGACCCACTTAAAGAAACTTAAGCAGAAGAATGATCTGCACTCAGTTTTGGAAAATTATTTTTATTACAGTGCTGAGGATCTAATCCAGGTCTTCCTTCATGCACCCCAGGTAAGCACTCTACCACTGAGCTACATCCTCATCCTGAAAAGTCACTTTGACAGGCGTGTGAAAAACAGACTGAAGAGAGTGAGACAAGGGGGCCAATATTAGACTAATGCTACGCTCAAGAGACGATGGAGACAGTCAGGATAGAAGCTGGGAGCATAAGTAGAGGGTAATCAAGAAAGACCAGGGGGCTGGAGAGATGGCTCAGCCTTAAGAGCACTGACTGCTCTTGCAGAAGCCCTGGGTTCAATTTCCAGCACCTACATGGCTGCTAAGAACCATTCTTAACTCCAGTACCAGGAGATCCTACACTCTCTTCTGACCTTGGTGGACATGGGTACACTTACACACATGCAGGCAAAGCACTCATACACATAATAAAAATGCTCGTATTTAAAGAATCTAACATTTCTTAGTACAAGGAATTTCAAAAGTTGAGCATTCCTCAGTAAAAAGCTTGTCAGGGTTAGCTCATCCTCTGTCCTAGCAAAATCAGCATGGTGAATCCCACACTCCCTAACGTAGCCCAGTCATTGTTCTCCTCATGCAGCTTTGAAAAATGTATCCTGATACTAAGTCCAGTCCTACCCTGTGATTCATCTGTTACAGAAAAAAGTACATTTGGAGCTTTAGGAAAAGAGTAAGTTCTAGCTTGGTCTCTAGGAAACAGATACTACTGCAAAGCCCATTTCCCACCATAATAGCGAACCTGGAAATAATTTTTTTTTTAAATATTTATTTTTATTTTGTGCACGTAAGTGTACCGCCTGCATGTGTGTAAGTACACCTGTGTCGTGCAGTGTCCGCAGAGGACAGAAGGTGTCAAATCCCCTGGAACTGGTGGTAGCCGCCATGTGGGGTGCTGGGAATCAAACCTGGGTCCACTGCAAGAGCAGCCAGTGCTCTTAACTGCTGAGCCATCTCTGCAGGCCCAAACCCAGAGGAATTTTTAAATTTTATTTTTATTGGGCCTGGGGAAATGGCTCCGTACTTACAAGCACTTGCTGTTCTTATAGAAGACTCAGGCTTGGTTTCCAGCACTTACATGGCAGCTAATCACCTCTGTAACTCTAGTTCCTAGGGATCCAACTTTCTCTTCTGGCCTCACAGGCAAAACTCAAAATACAAACAAACAAAGTTTTTGTTGTTTTTTTTTTTTGAGACAGGGTCTCCCAGCAGCTTCAGCTGGCCTGGAGCTAGCTATGTAAACCAGGCTGGACTTGAACTCAGAGACCACCTGCCTCTGAGTGCTGGGATTAAAGGCATTCGCCACCATGCCCGGCCCCTCCCCAATTTCTTTTTTGGTCTTTTTGAGACAAGGTCTCCCTGTAGCCACAGCTGGCCTGGATTCGCTAATGGAGACCAGGCTGGCCTTGAACTCACAGACATCCACCAGTCTCTGCTTCCCAAGTGCTGGGATCAAAGGCGTGCACCACCTTGCCTGGCTACAAAAATTTTTTAGAGATTTTTTTTTTTTTTTTACTGAAACTGGAGAGGTGCCAGTTCCCCAAACCTGTTTTTGCTAAGTAACCTATTCTCATGATAATGAGACTAATCCACTCCAGAGGCAAGGCCCTCAGGCCTTCTTACCATTATGAGGCCCACTCCCAAAAATGTTGCATTATGGATATTTCCTACATATAAAATTTGGGTTGGTGTGGTGGCACTCAGAAGGCAGAAGCAAGGGGGATTTCTGTGAGTTCAAGGCCAGCCTGGTCTACATAGTGAGTTCCAGGTCAGCTGGGGCTACAGGGAGACCATGTCTCAAAAAGACAAAACAAACAAACAAAAAACCATAAAATTTGAGAGACACATTCAAACCATAGCACCATGTACTCTGAAATGGTATAGCTTGGGTCTTTTGAATCTTTTTAGATTTAAATGACTACAGGTCATTTAAAGAGCAAAGTTTTCCCAGCAGTGATTGAATCTCTAAGCCTTACATGGCTATTAAGACAGGCTGGGCATGGTATTGCCTGCCTTTAATGCAAATACTGGGAGGTGGGGGAAGGGGACCAGAGGCAGGTGGGTCTCTGTGAGATCAAGGCTAGCCTGGTCTACATAGTGACTTCGGGCCAGCTGGGGCTACAGAAGACCCTATCTAAACAAACAAAAAAGATTAAATGACAGGTAGCACACACAGCACAGGCCTGCTACTGAGTTAACCAACTTCCTCCACCTCACCTGTACCTTGCACATAGCTCCAGAACATCAGATGTACTACTAGATAGGACTTTATTTCTTGCATTGGAACCCCTCTTCCCATAACACTAGTTTCTTTCCTAAAACATGATTCTTCATGCCTTTATTAAAGACAAAGAGACTGAGGATAATTCAATTTATCTGAGGGTCTGGATAGATGCCTCAGCAGTTAAGAGCATTTATTGCTCTTCCAGAAGACCTAAGTTTGGTTCCCAGCACCCACAAGGTGGCTAACACCAGTCCTTAGCTCCAGGTCCAGGGGATCCCATGCCATCTTCTGGCCTCCAAGAGTGCCAGGC